AGAGAAACAATGGGGGAATTTCTTATGCACTTACAATATGTATGCTTTGGATATGACCTCTATTTACAGCCTTCTAACCATTATAGTCCAATCATAGTATTACAAAAAAATAAACTAAAAAAGAATATAATGGTATATTATGCAGACTTTGATGGTTACAGTTAAGGCATTAACTATGAAAAACTACTTCTAGCCATTCAGTAGAACATAACTCTTAGAAAGGTTATCGGTTTAAGACATTAAAGATAAACAATTTTAAGAGATATTATGAACATCCATAATATAATATTTACAATATCTTATTTTTTTGTTTTGGAAATATTGATCTTAAGATTGTTTCTGTTTCCCTTTCTTAGTTTTAATATATACAACATTTAGTCACTAAAATCTTCCATCACCACTCACCATTGTCTACTACCACTACTGGTATATCATTGCCCACCACCACCACTTGCTATTGGCAATCATCGTTGGTCTCCATTGGTCATTGCAATTGGTTATCACTATTAGCCATGACCACTAGCCTTACCACTAGTTGCCACTTATCATCATCAGTTACCACCATTAACCATTATTAGCAAACCACCCTTGGCTGTTGTTGATTAACCTCTACAAACCATTGTCATTATCATTGGTTATCATCAATCACTTTTGATTACAGCCATCAATCAATAGTGTTTGTTAGTAAATAGTGGTGATTGGAGGTGGCTAGCGGCAATACTAGATGACGGCTAGTGACAACAACGATGGGGTGGTAACAGGTGGCAATGACCAATAATGATTAGTGGCAAGTGATGATTGATAGTGAAAGACATCTTTTCAAAAAGATTGTTTTAAGTGATTTTTTTAAAATTTTAATGTTATTTTCAAATCAATATAAGGAAACAATTTTTTTTAATTTTTTAAGAGTTGATTTATAAAATGGTTTCTAAAAATGAAAAATTGGAATGAAATTAAACTCCCAAAATTTACTTTTGCAGAAGTTTAATAATAATTCCCCTCCCTACTTATCTCTAACCAAATCATCTCTTAGGTATAGTAGAAAGGAGATAAATTAAACTTTAATCGTTTACAATAAAAAAAAAATAAACTTAATGGTTTTATTGACAAAGCAAAAAAAAAAAAAAAGGCTATAGCTACTCCTAGCTCGGGTGTTAATGGTTTTAGATGGTTTAATTAATGCATCACTAAGTAACTTATATTAAGGACCAAAGAATTTTTCTAGAATGTACCTTATAATTGGAACCGGAGGTAGTATTTATCCAACTGAGAATGAATTTAGAATCTTAATTACTGCTGCAAGTGGAATTGGGTAACAGTGAAGCTTACGCAAATTAAATAACGTTAACAATTTACACCAAAATAATCAGATATGAAGCTTTCAAACTACACACACCCTTGCTTCAACTTAACACAAATTAAAGAAGTAACTGAACTGGACTAAGAATAAATAAAAAACAAACATAAAACTTTGAGAAACAAACAAATAACCTGATGAATAAATATAATACTGTAGCAGTTACGGAGTATCCCGTGATAGTTACTTGATAAACTAATAATAAACCAAGTAAAAAGGAATGTTTTGTTTACTTTGGCAGACTATACCCTAATTTATTACAAGAAAAAAGGTCTAAATTAATTTGTAAGCTAAGGTTGACTTACGTTAATATGCCCTTATCTTCACCATAAAGCTTTAGATAAATTTAGTTACGTGTGCCAAGAACTGTTCATACATGTCAAAATGATTGTTGTTTGAAGCCATATGTAAACGATGAAAAAAAGTCTATCAAATATCTTAAATATATGCAAATTTTAATGTTATCTTATATTATTTTAAAATACAATGTATTCTATGAAAAAAACATTATGTATCAAACATTTTGGTCTCCATCTATCTTTATTTTCATTAATGAGAGAAAAGTAGCAATATTTTGAAACAAAACCAAAAAAAAAAAGTGACAATCATGTTGAAATGGGAAAGTAACATTTTTATAATATACTTTAATTTATTATATTGTGGTGCTAAGATATGCATGTGTGCCTCTATGTATATGGCTCTCAAATTACTTTTTTTTAATTTAAAAACCAAGTGAATTAAAGCCCAGTACAAGCCAGGGTTAATTAGAGCGTAGCTTATAATTCAAAAATTTCTTATAGAGGTGCTTAATTATAAATTTTTCTCTAGTCCAAATTGTAAGACACTTCCAAACACATTTCACACATGCCATATAAAAGTAGTTATTTCCTTACTTTCATGTCTTCTCATTTCTACTCTTAACCCCTTTATTAAGAGTGAGAAGAAGTGTTAGTTAGATTATATTTTTCATATTCACATTAATTAATACAAGTTTAAATTAAAAAAAAAGATTTCAAAAAGTACTATATATCCTACATTTTGGACTAGGTTTAGTTGGAAAAAAAATGTTTTATAACTTGAACGGGAGGGAGTACTTATTAATAGGGTTCTCACATCATTAGTGGAATTCAAACTCATGCTCTTATGGGATATGAGTTACTCTCAAATTACTTTAGCAATGCATAGTTTTCTTTTATTTTTTTCCCTATTACTACCTAATCATATTGAATTCATATGAGTAATATATATACTCATTCTATTAAAAAAATGTAAGATATTTTTAACTAAATTTCACCCCTAATAAATTAGTTAAATATCTTCAAACTAATGCTATCTTTTTAATTTTAACCAAAACTAAAATGCATTATATTTTTGAATATCCAACATTTCAAAAAATACTTTATATTCTTGAATGAAGGGAGTGCACATATATATAAATATGAAATTAATTATTCTGATATTTTTTATATGTTATAATAATTCTCTCAACTAATTTTACAAGTTGAATAGTATATGACACTGGTAAGCTTTAGATTACTTGCAAATGATTTCTTTAACCTTTAACATTTGATACTAAAAGTCATCATAAACTTTCAAATTGATGCTAATGTGATCCCCATGTTTGCCTTTTTTTTAACTAACAAAATATAAAATGTTAAAGGATTTATTAGCATGTGAGTTAAAAGGAAACTAAGATTATTGCGCATAACCTAAACTTCCAAGAGTTATAGTGCCAATTTACTTTTAATTTTTGCATTCAGCGATTCACTTTTGAGGGATATCCAATGCTACTTTTGTGAGACATATACGCATTTGAAATGCAAACCAAACTGGTCCGTAATCATGGATCATACTTCGTTAGCAAGGTAATAATTAAAATAACTAATGGTAGAGAAATTATTGAGACAAGCTAGACAAAGTTATCCATAAGATCAAAAGTTTGTGAGGAATTTCCAAGTTGTTTATATTCCTAGAGAAGCTAATCAGGTTGCTGATTGAGCTGCTAAAGCTTGATTTGAGAGCCAGAGCCTAGCAGATCGGGTGTTGAGACCAATGTTAAGAAAATTGGACTGGTTATTGAAACAGATAAAGTACTATTTTATAGTTCAATGGTCGAATTGTAGTTCAATTAGTTAGAATAAATTAATATATTTTAAATAATATATCTTTAAAATGAAAAGTAAAAATTATACATAATAAAAATGAATTTTTAATTGCAAAAATAAAAAGGCAATATCCATAGCTATTCCATTATTTTAATCCAAAATACATATACTTATTTCATAGTTTATAATTTATAACTTTAAAATATATACATATATACACATTTTATACATATTGCTTACATATTTGTTCATTTTTTTGTTTATAAATTCTTATTAGGTACAAATATGTGTAAATTGTAATTTTTAAATATGAATTAAAATTTTAAAAAATAAAAAAATTTTAAAAATACGACCAGTTCAACTAGTCGGCTTGCTAATTTCGATCGGTTTGAAATTGGTTCAATCGATTCTTGGGCAATTCTCAAGATGGATGGTCTTTTGTGATAACCAGATTGAACTTAGGATTGGTTTCTGGTTCAACCATTTGAATTAGCTGGTCCAATCAAGTTACGATAACACTAGTTGAGACGCCCTCTTTCTTTGCATATGTTTTTTTTTTTTTTTGGGGTCTGCCATTCGAACTTGCAATCTGTGGGCTGAGTGTGCAGCAAACTAACTAACAAGCTCCAAGTTTTCATGGCATTCTTTGCAGATGCTTTATTTGGAGATGGATATTAATGATTTGATTAATGTTAGACATTTTCTATTACTTCCTTTGGATTACAATATAAGGCATTTGCTATAAGCCCCTCCCAATATGTTCATATAGGGCATTGGTAGGTTTATATATATATATATATATATATATTTTGATTATACTGTTATTTTATTATATTCCATTCAAGTAATTAATGATTAGAAAGATGTGCAATTTTTTAGAAAATCAAGATTTAGATATACATAAATTACTTAATAATGACTTATATTGTTGTCCTAAGAGAGTATTGTTTTGTTTTATTTGATTGTACTTGGAGATTGGACTTTTGTTCAGGTTTTATTATCAATGAATTATTTTCCGCTGGCCAAAAAAAAAAAAACTTGACAAAGAGTTTTATGTATACAACTAGGCTAGACATAAAATGATAAAATCTTCATTTGTTTTGGCAAAAGAATTTAAAATTGATCTACAGTTAAATTTCATACTATAACTAGTCACAAAACAGACAATCACTAAAAGAAAAAGAATATACATTCATGTTTCAATTGGTAAATGTGGGTTATTAATTAATAGAGATGAGATAGTGTATCATACGCTCCAGACATTGCTTGTGGGGAACATTATATGGTATGAACAGTAAAATAAACAAAAGGATAATAAAATAATAATAATAATCATATATGTATAATAGTCTCATTCATTCCGTAAACTTGCTTTTTACGATACCTAGCTTTAACCTTCCCCGTCGGCGTAGTCACCGGCCGTCAACCCATTTCCTATCGTCACAGTGCTGTAATGAAGGCGTTGACACTGATTCATATATATAACCTCCAACCTCAAGTCCCATTATAAAAGTTCAAAGAGAGAAAATAGAATATATATATATATATATGTAGATGCACATGAACATGTATAATCCTTAGTTCATTTATTAGGGTTTTGAAACAGTGATTGAGTTTCTGAAGAAAGTTGGAGCTTATTATTTAGATTCATGGGTTCTTCGAATAACGGTGGTGTGCCGCCGGGGTTCCGGTTTCATCCGACCGATGAAGAGCTTCTTCATTACTACTTGAAGAAGAAGGTGAACTTTCAAAAGTTTGACATGGAGGTCATTAGAGAAGTGGACTTGAACAAGATTGAGCCTTGGGACTTGCAAGGTACGATAATATTATGTGAACTCAAAAACTTGGTGGTTGATCGGTTTTGCAGTTTTGCTTTTGCATTTTCTTGTTTTATAGGTTGTTGAAACTCAGTTTTAGTTGGATTTCACATTCAAGACCTCTTTGATTTGAAATAATTGTGGTTTTTCCAATCTTTATTTGTTTAGAAGTCTTTGAATTTGAATTCTGTTATATGTTTTGGTAATTAATTAATTAGTTGATCTCAAGTGATTTTCTTGAAGTTCTGGGTTCGGTATTGCGTGTTTAATTCTGTCAACTTCAAATTTACTTTTCGCCACATATATGTTCCTTAATTTCAATACTGTGATAATTTGATATATATATATTTATATCAGATTAGTCTAAATAATTAAAATAGCCCTTAATTAGTTATATAATTGAACTTCAAACAATATTTTATTTTTGTGATTGTGTATAGTAATTGATAATAAATTCTTATTGTATGAAATATATAAACGATGTTGGGTTGCGTCATATGCAGCTATTAACATCTTATTAATAATAGAACCCTTCATTCTTTTCTTTTCTGTAAATCCTTATTTAGTCTTTAAAAAAAAATTAAATTGTCCAAACCTTGTACTCCCTCCTGTCTATAATACAAGACAAAATGTTTTTTTTATCAGCAATTAAAATTTTTTCAACTTTACTTGTTTATATATTTTTGAATTTCTAAATAATAATAATTAATTTTGTTTATTAATTACATACAAAGAATGACAGACTTAGAAAACTATGTATTTTTTTTAACAATTTTAATATATATACTCTTTTGGTTCATAATATACGATATTGGTAAATATTTCACGGTTTTAGAAAAAGTTAAATTTTAATCTCTTAAAACATGGTTTTTTTAAAAATTTTATGTAAGTTTTTTAATCAGGATGATTAAAATTATAATGCATCATTTTTTAAAAAGAATAATAAATAAAGGTTATAACTGAAAAACAATTATAAAAGCTACCTAATACTCTATATTTAGACCAAAAATGACTTTTTAAAAATGCTCTATATCTATCATTTCTTAATAAGCGCAAATTTGATTAATTTGTCTTATATTAACTGAAGTGAGTACACACATGATCCAAATTAATTTATAATTTATAACTAATGAAATACATAATCATTTAATTTTTTATTTTTTTTGTAGCAATAGATAATCACAATGAATTGAAGTTTTCAATTTGATGATGTTTAGCCAGTGAATAATAGGGTAGACAATACCGTACATCATAAGTCAGTATTTTCATATTATTTTATGGTCTGTGTTGAATACTTTAATGGTGTTTTTTTCCCCACTAAACACTAAAAAGTTATGAAGTGCTCATATTTCGAAACGAGCAGATTAAAATATTGATAAATGGAGGCAGTTTTGGCGTCCACGGAAAAGGTTCATTAATGAATCCCTCTCTGTACGTAGTGCATCGTTGAATAGTCTTTGTCTCGTTTTCTACGTACGGTGTCGACAAAAGCGCTCAATTTTCTCTCCACGTTTCCTTTCCTAAGAAATATATCCAAGTCTTATTTGAATTTAATGTAAGACATTAATACTTTTATTTCAAATTATAAAATATTTTTAAAAAAATTTTATATTAAAAAATATAAAATATTTTGGATGAGAATAATATTTTATTAATACTACTTTTTTAAAATTATTATTTTCATTATATTCTCTCTATCTAATATTTTTTATAATTGAAAAAGAATATTTTAAAAGTTTATATTTTTGTTTTAAAAAATTAAAGTTGTAAAATTTATTTAATGAGTTTTATTTGTATGTATAATTTTATTTAAAAATATTTTATTATAAATTGAGACGGAGTAGAATAAGTATAAATTATGAAAACTATTATAGCTCTACTGTTTCAGACATGCGCAATTTATAATCTTGCTTTTCTTTATATAATATATATATATATATACATATATTACGCCAGCCTTTTTTATAAAATTATTTTAAATATAGTATATATAATATACTTGTTGGCGATATATATAGATTAAGATATTTGAATTATTAAAAATTTTAAATATTCATACCGATTATCATTCGGTGGTAACAATGATACTTATATTGGTATTATTAAAGTTCTGAACATAAACAAAAAAAATTCGCTTCCATTATAAAAAGCCATCAATATATATATATATATATATAATATTTAAAGGAAGCAGTGATATTTTTAAGACATGAACAAAATATGAGCCCTTTCTACTTTCGCTTATTGATCCAATTTTATTTTCAAGAAAGGCATATTTGACTATTGCTTTTTCATATTATTTAGTTGAAGAGGATTTAGGTTGTTTTAACCTACATTTAAGTAGTGGGGGCAAGTTACTCCACAATTTTTTTTTCTTTTTTTCTTTATTTTATATGTATGATGAATATATATAAATTATCATTCATATTTAATAATATAAGTTCTAATGCCCCATACAATGTTTGTATATGTTATATTGTCCCCACATTCTAAAATTTTTGGTTCTTTCACTGTCATTGTTAGGGTGCAAATATTAATGCTACTCTTTAAGTCAAATATTTATGTATACACACCAACAATGCATGATTGGTCCAGGGGAATGAACTCAATTCTTTTGAAGTTAAATCACGTATTTGGACCTTATTGACGAGAATTTTTTTTTTTGGTAAGAAGTATTTTCAATTAAGCTCGACAATGTTTGAATCTAACATGATACATGAATGAAATAACAGAGAGGTGCAGAATAGGGTCAACACCACAGAACGAGTGGTACTTCTTCAGCCACAAGGACAGGAAGTATCCGACAGGGTCAAGGACGAACCGGGCGACCAATGCCGGCTTCTGGAAGGCGACGGGACGAGACAAGTGCATCAGAAACAGCTTTAAGAAGATTGGAATGAGGAAGACTCTCGTCTTCTACAGAGGCCGAGCTCCTCATGGCCAGAAGACTGACTGGATCATGCATGAATATCGCCTTGAAGATGCCGACGATGCGCAGGCCAATCCCAATGTAAGTGTGTGTGTATAATTATCTCTTTCTCATGAGTTTTCATGTACTTATCTCTTCGATGCTGATTTTTCAAAGGTTTTAGGAAACTACTATTTGTGGCATATTCACAAAGAGATATAATATATAGAGACTTACTAAATTGTATAGTAGACCTTCCTTGAGCAATGAGGGCAATATCTAATATTTGTGCATTTCATATACATACTTAGTGTTTTTTTTTTTCCTTTTTTTTTTGGGTGCTCGCAGGGGATTATGCATATTAATCTCTTGGGTGCTGAATTTTGGGTTTAAACTCTATTATTTCTCAAAGTCATATAGAGCTATATATATATATATATATATATGAATACCTGTCATATTTAACATATCTTTTTGGGGAAGGACAAAAATAACATCTTTGGTTTGTGGTTAGAAATATATACTCCCTCCAATACCTATTACAGGGTGCCTTCAAAAAAAGATTTTTTATCCTTAATATAAAACATTTGATAAGATATTAATTACTCTTTATTTTTCATATTACTCCTATTTACACTCAATGACAATGAGAAAGAATGTAATGCACACAAATGTGAAAATCTTTTATTTAAATAGAGGTAAAATTAGAAGTTTTTTTTATATTCAGATAAAGTTAACAGCTTAATCACCTTTTCTTTATTTCAATGAGATAGTTAAAAGTATTTTATAATAGGGATCAGAGGGAGTATAATTTATCTAATATAATAAAAATAAATATTAACAGTAAATTATTGTTTGACTTCTTTTTTAAAAAAAAATTGCAGGAAGATGGCTGGGTGATTTGTAGGGTGTTCAAGAAGAAAAACCTATTCAAGATTGGCAATGAAGGAAGCTCCATGCATAACTCAGACCAACAACTCAATAATAATTCCTCAAGCATCAATCAACCTCGATCCTTCATGCACAGAGAAAGCCAATACTTACTGCATCACCACCATCATCAACAACAACCAAATCCTAGAAACTCATCCGGGTTCGAACTCCAAAAACCTGAGCTTGCTCTTCACTATCCTCCTCACTTGCAAAACCCTCAGTACTCTCTCTTCCAGGCTCAACCCCTCCTTCCAGCTCACTTCAATTCATACTCATCATCAGCCCTAACTTCAGATCACACACCTGCCTTGGCTGCCAAGCAGCTCATGACAAACCCGGCTGGAGACTGCGATAGTGGTAGTGAGGGCTTGAGATACCAAGTTTCTGCAGAGACTGGAAACATGGAGGTTGGTACATGTGAACCCTCAGGTCAAGAGATTGGAACAGGAAGAGAAGATCAAGGGTTTAACGAATGGGGTGTGTTTGATAGGCTTGTGGTCACATCTCATCACCATCTTGGAAATGAAGAATCATCCAAAGGGGTTAGGTTTGAGGATAATGCAAATGCACAACAATCTGTTCATCAAATCAATCATCATCAGCAGCAGCTTTCATTGCGTGGAGAAGTGGACTTTTGGGGCTATGGAAAACAATGATTCTCGGAGTTAATCAATTGGATTAAATGATATTGAATTGTACGTGATGATAGGGATTGAAGATGATCTCTAAAACTATAATTTATATTGATGTTGGTTGAATATTATTGTATGTTAAATTTAACTTGTAATTTGATCATTTTACTCATGTTTTCTCTTCTTATTTTTTCTCCAAACTTTACTTGCTTGGGAATAGAGTTATAATGGTATTACCACAATACTAGTAGTTAATATTATACTATATTACATTAGATTAACTAGAGTTGTGTCGAAATTATTAGAGAATTTGAACTAAACTAGGGTATGCTTTGGGTGCATTAATTGTACTATTCATGATTCTTGAATTGTGCGACTTGTCATGGATTTTATATTTAATATTTAATATTAATGTTGATTGGTTAGAGAAATCATGCATTAACAAAGGCAAGTTAAGAAATTTTTTTTAGGCCAAACCTATATATTGGATCCACAAACAAATTATGGACCCAAAACCTCCATACTAAAAACATAATTAACAATATCCATATATGGTTCAGATCTGCTAGGAGAGAGCCCAGACTTAGAAGCAAACATTTCATTAATAAGGGTGCAAGATATATGATGTTAACCGGAAATAAATATGAAAAAAATTACATATAGGTCTCATATTACAAATAAGTTTTATAAAATTCAGAAGCTATAACTAAATCCCTTAAAATCTTAGTGTAATTTAAAATTTATATAAAAAGACAATAATTTCCCTATTAAATAGATGTATATTATATCAGTCAAATAATTTACATTTATTTCATCATTAATTTACAATTATAGCTTTAACTTTTTACAACTATAACTTCATATATTTAATAATTAAACTAATCAGTTTAATATATGAAGTTACAGTTATAAAAAATTAAAATTATAATTATAAATTACTAATGAAGTAGTTATAAACAATTAATGTTAAACTTTGTTAGTAACATATAATTGTCTAACTATTGAATATATGAAATTACTGTTATATAAAGTTGAAATTATAATTATAAATTGTTGCTGAAGTAGTTGTAAATTAATTATTTGATTGATATAATATATGTTTCATAAGGGTATTATTGTCTTTGTAGCTTAATTTCAAATTACACTTAGGTCCCGAAGGGACCTGGTCGTAGTTTTCAAATTTCAAGAGACTTATTTGTAGATAAGTCTGTTCTACGGGACCCAAACATAATTTTCCCAATAAATATATCTTCTATTAAATTAAAAAGGGGTATGTGGAAGGTAATCTCAAGGTGTGGATTAAAAACTGTATTGATAGAAGAGATAATCCATTCCTAGTTAATTTGGAAAAGGAACTTCAGAAGGAACTTTATGATGTTTTGCAGCAGGAGGAAATTCTCTGTTATCAAAAATCAAGAGGCAAATAGATTCAGCAAGGAGACCATGGAAGTTGAACTGATGATGAGGCTGTGATAACTGTAACAGCCCTCCTGGGTCACCACTGCCTCTCCAGGGTCTTTTCCCAGGCGCTGGACAACACACATGTCACCACATGATTGCCGGCTTTCCCACTGGTGGTACAGTGGTTATTCCTCACCCCACCCTCACGGGGGTCTTTTGGAACCTCCCCAGACTCGAACCTCCAACCTCTACCACCTTAACGAAGTTGAGGCGAAGTCTGGTACCATTGAGTCAGTTGACTCAATGGTACCAGACTTCGCCTCAACTTCGTTAACTGACTCAATGGTACCAGACTTCGCCTCAACTTCGTTAAGGTGGTAGAGGTTGGAGGTTCGAGTCTGGGGAGGTTCCAAAAGACCCCCGTGAGGGTGGGGTGAGGAATAACCACTGTACCACCAGTGGGAAAGCCGGCAATCATGTGGTGACATGTGTGTTGTCCAGTGCCTGGAAAAAGACCCTGGAGAGGCAGTGGTGACCCAGGAGGGCTGTTACAATAATAGAGATGTTTCAGTATTTCTTCATGTCTCTCTTTAGTGAAGAAAATATTGCAAGAGGCTGGATTTGTACGGAACAGATATGGGTAGCTTTAAAGCCCAAGGACAAGAAGAATTTCCAGCATTATTTTATCAAGAAAAATGGGACATGGTTGGTAATTTTGTAACTAGTATGTTGAAAAGATAGTGGGAGGTGTCAAGGAGAGTTGCATAAATCAACAACGCCTCTACTAGTGCTTATACTGATATTGGAGCTCTTGAAATTGTTAATTGTTTAGACCGATAGCACTTTGTAATGCTTTATACAAATGGCTTACGAACAATAGCAACCGGATGAACTGTGGAGTAAGATCTAGAAGTGGAAGAAGTAGAGAAGGATTCAAACTATCATGTAGTTAGCCCATTACTACATAAAATGCCTTATTTGACGGTTGTCTTTGGCTTTATTTGACAATTATTAACTATCAAATAATGAGGCATCAAATATAGAAGGAATCCTTACTTGACATTTGTTAACTGTCAAATAAAGGTCATATTTGACGGTTATTTTGAGAAAAACATCAAGAATGGGTTATCATGTTTGACCTTTTTACTCTTCTAGAAGGTAGCACTCGATTGTTATTTTAAAATAATCCTCAAATATTTGCACATATTTTAAGGTTATTTGGAAATAACCATAAAGTAATTTTGGTAAAAAACTAGCTTCTAAGTGGTAAAAATATACCATAATTATTACATGGTTATTTCCAAATAACTATCTAATATATTGATAAAGCATATTTTACAGATAAAGAGGTATAGATTTTGAATTATATTTGATTATATTTATTAATATTTTATAGAGAAAATAACAATAAAATTTCACCAAAATATATAAATAACAATCAGGTCCCCTTAAAATGCTATAATTCCTTTGATGTCCCTAGGTATCTTTCTAACATTAATAATTTTAGGTTAAATGACTAAATTGCCCCTTGTTTAAAATAAAAAAAGAACTGGTCTGGCTCCATTTTCCTATTTGTTTGAGTTGAGCAGTCCTTCTTCCTCCCTTTTCTCTATTCTCTTGTCTATGCTCCCTTGTGCATCGCTGTCTCATTGTCACTATCTTGCCATTGTCATCTTGCCGTCATAGTCTCACTGTGAGTCTTTGTCAACACTGAGGTAAGTGGCATGTTCTCCCATTTACATAGCATTTTTTGATTTTTGAGACCCATTTTTGCTCTTAGGGTCTGTTGTCCCATTTACATAGGATTTTCCTGATTTCTGAGACCCATTTTTGCTCTTAGGGTCTATGTTCTTAGGATTCGTGTTGTGACAAGTTTTGTTTTGAAAATGGCTAAAGTGGTTCTTGAAATGACTAAAGTGATATAATGATGTGTGAACTTAGTTGTTGTGATAACTTTTCTTTTTGAAACAACTATTATAGTATTGGAAATGACTGAAATGATTTAAAAAATTACTAAAACCCTATGATTTTGTTTGAGCTTTTGGTTGTTGTGACTGGTGTAGATTAGTAAATATTAATAGGGAGTGTTGATTGTTTAGGATAGGGAAGATGGTGAATGCACTAAGTTTGTCCAAGAAGGATTTTCCTAAAGAAACTCAAGATAAATATAAAAAAATTGAGACTAAAACACAGAATGAATTTTGAACTAAAGGCATGGGAATAGTTTCTAAAGGCTGAGAAGGCCTAATATTTTGAGAAGGCTTGGGAATCAAGAGCTGATAGAAATGTTAAAAAAAAGAAATATAAGTTCCTTTTCATATGAGGTCTTCTCTTAGACAATCTATGGAACTTGCATAGTTTGTGCAAGTCAATGGGAACTTAAGGAAGATTGTAGAAAACATAAGGTTTGGCATGTTACTTGATATCAAATGGAAAACACTCCCTCAAGACCTCTGTGTCCAATTAATGTTTTCTTATAATCCCTCTACTCATCAATTTAGCACTAGAGGAAGTTAAAAGAAATTAAAGGAGAAGATGTTTACATTTTGATGGGGTTACTTTATGATGAGGATAGGGTGTTAATAATGGTGGATGAACAAGAGGAAGGATTTTTAATCTTTAAGAATGAATATTTTAAAATTCCATATAAGAAGATATTGGCAATGATTAAACCTGGAGTAGAGATTGAAAATCTTAAATTTATGTTTATATTGCGCACACTAGAAACACTTTTATGTCCCAATTATATTTCAATTGATAGTAAATAGATGTTAAAAGTGATGTATTGCATAAAGAATGCACTGAAAGACTTTAATTGGTCAAGATTTATATCAAATGACTTATGCAATTAATTGGATGCGTACATGAAATAATTGAGGAAAGATAATGCTTGTACTTTCTATTAGTAAATATAGATGAATTTATGCTACTGATTTCATAAAGGCTTCCTCATTTATATCCCTCTGTTGAAATGTATAGAACTCAGCTTCCTTCTCATCTTGGAATGCTGTGGGGAAATGATAATCAATGAATATTCAGCATTACTTAATACCACCAATGCTTTGATTACTGAGTTGACTACCATCAAAAGGCCTCATAAAATGCCACCAATGCTTGGCATCTTCTATTAGTTGAATTGTGGCTAACACTACCTTTTGCTCGAAGGAACATGGGGTAACCTAAAAAATAATCTCCATTCTTTCGATCCAGTTCTCTACATCTCTTTCTTTCATACTTCCATTAAAAGTTGGCGGATCAAATCACAAGAAGGTTCTTTAGACCTCATCCATAGGAATCTTTTGATCTTCCCTACCAGTCACTGGTCTACTCCCTGAAGCATGGGAGGTCACTAGCTTACTTAATTCCACCTCAAGATGTTGATCAGATTCCACTCTTACTTTAGTCTCAGGCCTTATCCCTAATTGCATATTCAGCATTACTTCCAACATTAGTGCCATTATCTAGTCATTCCCTTGAGGTTGTTCCGGAGGTGCCTCTAGATCTTAGGCATTTTGACCCTGTGTATGCAGTGGATTCCTACCACGTCCCCTCATAACTACTGTAGCACTAAGCGCCTTTCTCCCCTCTTAAGGAGTAAAGTTAGAAATAGTAAGTAAATAGGTGATTAGAGACCAGAAAGAGAGTAATGAATGTTTAAAAGTTGCCAACTAATGGGATGTAATGTACAAATAGACCAAAACCAAAGAAAATTGATACCAAAATGTAAAGTCTCCTCATAAAATTTGGACTTTACTAAACCACATAAACACAACACAATACAATAATATTATAATATTAGAGTTATAGCCCTTAGTTTGTTTTGAAAATATGGAATCCTGACTTCATATAAAAATAAGTTCGAATTAAAAGGATTAACAGAAGTGTAAATATATGCCCAACAACAAAGTAGGCAAGTAATC